AGGTGGTGCTTTCTCAAATTCGCGTACATTCTAAGCTTTGACATCTTCGTTTGTCCCGCAGGGTGAAATTCGTGTAATGATATGCAAGGATGTGTTAAACTGCAAGGTTTCGTGGGGGCGAGTCCCCCCCCTGGCCCCTTGATAATTCATTGCGTGGTCTTGCCTAAGAAAAATATACAAAATTTGCCATAAGCCACTCGGCACTACAATACACACAAACAGCTTGTTACCTGTTGAGAATGCAACCTTGCCAAAAGTCCAGGTTTAAGTGTTCATCATATTATCGTTATTTCACTATTATTTTACTCAATCTTTCACAGGCCAAAGAGATAGATAGAGAGATAGATAGATAGATAGATAGATAGATAGATAGATAGATATATAGATAGAGATTTCATAGAGACCAAAAACTGCTGCTCGGCATAGTAGCTTAAATGAGCCCATTATGAGCCCATTACATAATGAGCCCATTATCTAATATTTTCAGACTTCAGGTTAGGTGCAACATGCCTACACATGCCACTCGACAGTTCCAGCGGCACCCAGCTCACAAGCGCAGATCGGCGCTCATCTAGGATGCTTTCTGAATAACTAACACGACCATTTGACCTCATAGATGATGCTTCAGGTGTGTATCCGTTCTTGGACACACAAAATGAGGAAACAACCTCCACTGCGACCATTATTCCTGGCTGGACTACCGTCTGTGTCAAAATTATCATCCACGCGCGTTACTGCCAACTGGTAGGTGCCTGTAGTTCTCATTCATCAGAGAATGTGAAACAGTTGCGTCATTTTTTTAACCGCAGTGCTAAAATAGCCGATGCTACGAAGCCTCCCTTCTTTGCCCACACTGGAAAAAATACGAAAGCTATTTCAAGTTGTAATTGAGCATCACACAGCTGCACAAAGTCACATAGTGACAGCTCAAAGTATATTTTAGGATAGAATGACAATGGTACGTCACTTTGAATCAACTGTTTTGTTTTAAGCACGCTATGATAAGTGTCATTAACACTTAATTAGATGGCACAGAGCTTAAGTCAAAGTGTAATGTCTCTCGTGCGCCACGACTGCCACATGCACAAATATGGAGTGCTCCCACGCTCACAAAACGTGGCGCGAGAACCAGTACACTTCTCCCGTCACCGGCTTCTGTCATGGCCGCCCGAGCGCTTGTGCTTTGGCTAGCATATACATGCTAGCCACTTGCCAAAGGTTCGGGTGATCAAGCAAGCTTCTACAAATCTTACCAAATCTTCATTTAAGGTACAAATGGACGGTCATGGGCAACACATTCAGCCACGTTAATATCCATGCTCTCCGCGCAGAGCCTTGGAGAGTTTAAATAATCATAGGAGAATAGTAGGCATGCAAATGCATTGTAGGCGTTCAATTTGTGCGTGGTTTGCGCAAGCAGGAGTAGAATAGATCGGACACAACTTAATACCACTTATCTAATCCCAAAGCCGTTGGCTAGATGCAGAGTACCTAACTGACATCAAGCAGCTAACTGCTGGGTGAGAAAGTTATCTTTGGTCCCGACTTGCAACCGCCAACATATTCATTCTTTGGGGTATATTAATCAGGGAGAAGGGGTGAACAATTATCTATGGGAATGCAACAATCTTTGTTCTGGTTAAGACACCTGTAAAAACATTAACTAAAGCAGCATACATCAACTGAAGCTGGCCCCAAAGCTCATAAAATTGGGGCTGACTGCCTAGAAAACAGAAGATATAGTCTTGCCAGAGAGTTAATCTGTTTTCACCTTTTCAGACAGGGGCTTGGATTGAAGACTCAATGGTTTAGTATTAGGAATGGTAAGACTCAAGTTTAAGACTCAACTCAACTCAACTCTACGAAAAACACGCTTCGGCCTAATTTTCAACTCTGCAATGCAATGTTTACTGCCGGGATAACATGCGATTGCTGAGAAGATCGGGAGAAATGGTAACTTTGATATGATAAGGTAGGTTATTATCTTGTCAGATATTTTAGTTGCCTTGAAATGAACGAGATATATAGTTTTCCACGGCAGCAAATATGAGTGGCACTCATTCATATCTACTTCTGGTCATAGAAAAATGTGTTTCTGCAATATGTGGCTGAGTTATGTACTGTGCACCTGTTTTTGCATTGCTTTGTATTGAAACTAGTACCTTTTATTGTTTTAAGAGTTGTTTTCTGAATGAAAGTTTTCATTAAAGGGAGTGTTCCACATTTGTATGGAGTTTTGAACTGAAATAGCCATTTTGAAGACCTTTCGGTGCTCTTCACAATCCTTTCCTCCTTAAGACATAAGCCTCTCTAGTTTCTGGCCTACATGCCCGCGAAAATGTAGAAAGATGTATCAGAGAGAGTTTTTTCAAGGTCATCTTGGCATTCATGACAACATAATAACGTCATTCAAATCCTATCATTCCATAAGCCATGCGTCGATCAAGGCCAAGAAAAATGTACTTGTCGAGGCGTTCATATCTGGCGTTCATGAGCGCGATTTCCAGATCTGCCGGCCGTCAACTGGCTCTCAATCCATGTTGTGCAAGGTACGATGACGTAATCAAACAATGACGCACTGTAGACCGTGTTAACTGAACAGAGAACTGTGCTGTCAAAAGCAGTCTTTTTACTGAAAAAGATATCTGAGCTTGTTTCATCATACCTGATGCTTGCTTTAATATCTTCAAATGCGAAACATTCTCTTTAACACGCAAGTGATATGCAAACGCCCTGCCGTTCCCCCGTCCTCGCTGATTGATGAAGTGAGCTGAAAAGCCTTTCAAGTGCTCTTATCAGCACAGACACCATTTATAACGATCATACGATGAATAATGAAGATTGATCAAGACCATACCATTCATAATGAGCGATGCCGCATTGCAATAAATTCTAAGACCATCACTGACACGCAGTAGCATATTTCCGCCCCCCACCCTCCCTCACTTTCCAACGGCAGAAATAGGAGGTAGATTAGCGCTTCGCCGTATTTTATTCAATATATATATATATATATATATATATATATATATATATTATATAATATATCTATATGTATATGTGTGTGTGTGTGTGTGTGTGTGTGTGTGTGTGTGTGGTGTGTGTGTGTGTGTGTTGTGTGTGTGTGTGTG